TTAAAAAAATGAAACGGATGCCTTCTAGCTTTGGTGGCCCAAAAATATGAATTTTTCCAGTCTTCAGCAATGAATGATTTGTAATGAGTGGCTCCAAACTCTGAACTTACTTTGCGGGTTTCCCAGAAGCATTTTCTGCTACTCTGGGAACCAGAGTGTTAGACTAGAATCACAGAATAACTGAGTTGGAAGGGACCTATAAAGTCATTGAGTCCAACTCTCTGCTCAGTGCAGGAATCCATATCAGAACAGATCTGACAGATAGTTGTCCAATTTTTTCGAGTGCTTCCAGCATTGAATCACTCAGCACTTCCCAAGGTAATTGGTTCCATTGTCATACCACTTTGACAATTAAGAAGTATTTCCTGATATTCAGCCTAAATCTAGCTTCCTGTAGCTTGAGCCTATTATTACGTGTCCTGAACTTTGGGATGATCAAGATCCTGTCCCCCCTCTGTATGACTACCTCTCAATTATTTGCAAAATCGTAGAAGACATAAGACATAAGACATAAGAAATTTATTTGTCATTGCGCTCACAAGTGGGTGCAACGAAATGAGGTGCTCTTCCCCAAGGTAAAACTGGACAACACTACAAAAAAAAGTTAAAATATATCATCTCTCCCTTCAGTCTTCTCAGTCTAGAATGGCCAGGTCAGATCTAAGGACCCTTCTTACGTTCTTACATTGCTGGTTTTGAATAATTCAGATGGGACCATGGTAAGATCCAGTCCTTCAGAAGAATGTTCTCTGCCCTGCACAAACTACATGTGGGCAACCTCAAATGTTCCTAGAACCATCTGAAACCTTCAGCCACTCTTTGGTAGAAAGGTCAAGGTGGAATTGGTTCTCTGAAGTTAGAAATGCTGGAAAGCCACATTTCTTCTTGGCTATGAAATCAACAGATTCTGGACAGTGGTAACAACAAATCACAGGTGACCAAAATGACATGGTTGGAGAATGTGGACTTCTCAAATCAAGACAGCAAGGCAGGCAAGGCAGGCATCACAGCCCTGGCAAAATTGAACGTGAAGTGTTTTTTTTTGTCACTGGCAGGGATGACTGTCAAGCCAAGTGGCTGAGACAGACGCGGTGATCCCTTCCAAAGTGTCAGCTGTACTGGACAATCATGGTGCATCTGGTTGTCAGCGTTAGGGGAGGATGGGAATCAAACCAGCCTCTGATTACATGAGAGCAGACAAGCGGCCTCAGTAAATTCTGGGCATTCCCCAAAGCGTTGACAGTGAACTGGATCAAATTCAGCTGACAAACTGAACCTGATGAAGGCAGACAGAAAAGCTAGTACTAAAGTATGAATACAGATCAGAAGATTCGCTTGAATGAGAGCCATAATCCCATCACCTAGTCTGAAGCTGCCCAAGAAACATCATTTCTCTTGCCAGGCAAAATCCAAAGGGGAGTGGGGAACTTTTAAAAAGACAATAACAAGTGGCATCTTAAAGACTAACTATTCTATTTTAATGTGAGCTTTGGTGGATTGCACCCACTTCTTTGGACACAGAGAATAAAATGAAATACAGTGGTGCCTCGCTAGACAGTTACCTCGCAGGACCGTTTTTCCCCCCGCTAGACATTGACTTTTTGCAATCACTATAGCGATTCACAAAACAGTGGTTCCTATGGGGGAATTTTGCTGGACAATGTTTGGTCCCTGCTTCGCAAACCAATTTTCGCTAGACAACGAAAATTGCGCTCGCAAAACGGGTGTTTTTGGGACCTAAGCTTTGCAAGACAGCTATTTAAACAGCTGATTGGCGGTTTGCAAAGTGGCTTTCCTATGGTCGATCTTCGTTAGACAACGACGATTCTTCCCCATTGGAATGCATTAAACATGTTTCAATGCATTCCAACGGGGAAATGCTTTTTGCTAGACAATGATTTCACTAAACAGCAATTTCAGTGGAACAGATTATCATCGTCTAGCGAGGCACCACTGTACAGGATGAAATACCAAATTGACAAGTAAAACATTCAAAACATGTGTTGGCTCCAAGTGTCTTGCATAAGTGGTTATGTCTCCTGTGCAGTAATTTGTGGCCTACGTTTTGTGCTAAGTTCTTTTGTAAACATTCCTAGAGGAGACAGAAAACAGATAACCAGGCAAGAGCAAAAAAGATTGGGGGCAGAAGGGGTGGAGGGCTCTACAACTTAATCTTGTTCCTAGTTTTGCCATTGATAAGCAAAGAAAAGCACTTTGCAAGATTATTCTATCCTGTATGAGTATATTTCAGTTTTGAAATCCTGAGGCACAGGGTATTTTTTTTGGTCTTTTCCACTACCATTCGACTCATATGAATGGGAACATGTGAGAAGGCCATCTTTCCAGGTTCTGGAAATCATTGCAAAGAAATGCTAGGCTAGTTGTGCCTTGGTTGGACCAGGCGAAGCAGGCAATGACCAGAAGGAAAAGATCTTTTTTTTAAAAAAATTATTCCAATAGGCATTTGGCTTGGGATCCAACTTCCTTGCTAAAGGACACCATCCTAACTAATGAAGTGGACTGACGGCCACCTAAGCTAGCATTAAGCCAGCAGATGCTGTCTTGCACATGAACCTCTCCTACCTTAGGGATGTTGGAACCTATTTAGGGCCACCTTCTCTTGGGTCTAGCTTTGTGCTGGCATAAAGACTGTGTCCATAGGCTACAGGAAGTTTGGTCCTTCCCTCTTCCAGCATCCTGCTCCACCTTCATCTCTCTTTTAACTCCTTCGCAGGCTGACCTGAGCCAGCCCAGCAGCTATAGCGGCAGATCTACATATCCTTCTGCTTGTAGATCTCTGAGATCAGCCAGCACCACAAAGTTTTGCTAGCACGTGGGCAGTTGTGACAGCTTGAGAGGTTCCTATCTATTCCATAGCCTGCCAAATCCATTTGAATCCCCTATTTTAAATGGTGTTTAGTGTTTTCACTTTGATATCACCCTTTTGCATTTCATCTGTGCTTGCCTTGTTTCCTCCTTGAAACGAATCTCTAGGAGAAAAGAGCTATAAATCAAACAAACTGCATAAATTAATTGCTGAAACAAATTACAGAGAGCGTGATCGACATGCACACAATTCACCAAGATTAGAAGGCATCTGTAGGGAGAGAGCATGGACAGTTTCACTCTGGGCAGCAAAGTGTTTCGGGCGGCTATACTGCAGGTCTGAGCAGCTAATGAATTTGTTTGTGCCAACAAAGTGGCCAAGTTCAATGCACCCAACTTGAAGGGACCCTTCAAGAGCAGAGGATGGGCTATTCGGCCCATCAGACTCGATAATTCCAGCCAGCCCATGGCCATCTGCCTCCTCACTAGAGGCAGAATTTGCTGGAATTATTGCACTCTCATATGTTTCCTTTAAGAGCTTTTGACTCAGAGGGATCTTTGTGGATGGGGCGAATGTCAGTCCATCCAGCAGTGGCCAATGGTTTCCTCTGTGCCTCAGATTTTGAAGACAGACAGCCATGTCTTCTTTTCCCACTCTTTTTAGTCAGACAGTCTGAAGACAAAGTTACATAGTCAGTGAGTGTCAGACATGTAGAGCATGAAGCTAATTAATCAATTAAATCTGTTTAAGTAGCCAGTCATTATTGTTCTACAGAATGTTGTTTTGTTTTGATCTATGAAGAACTGTAAGGCATGAAGCTAATTAATCAATTAAATCTCTTCATATAGCCAGTCATTATTTTTCTACAGAATGCTGTTTTGTTTTGATCTATGAAGAACTGTAAGTAAAACGGAACCTTTTTTTCTCTCTTACCATCACCTCTAAGTAAGTTATTGAGATAGTAAGTGCCAGTTGGGAATTAACAAAAAGGGTGGTCCACTTGAAGCTAATTCTGCTGTGTAGATCTCTGATCATCTCTAAGTAAGTTATTGAGATAGTAAGTGCTAGTTGAGAATTAACAAAAGGAGTGGTCTACTAAGAGGACACTTGAAGCTAATTCTGCTGTGTAGGTCTCCAGTTGGGAATTAACAAAAAGGGTGGTCCACTTGAAGCTAATTCTGCTGTGTAGATCTCTGAATTTTATCCACTGCGTAGGCAGAGGTTTTTGAAGTCATAAATATCCACACTCCACCAATAGAATTTGTCTCCTATTGCTATATAGTTTGATCACACTAAAAAAGAGCGAGAAAAAAGGTCATGGTCCTGTGTTCAGATATGCACAATCAAGTTTCCTTTACATCAGCTGTAATGCATAGATGGAAAAGATGCCTTCCTGCTCAGAAGACTGAAAAAGCCTGGTTTGATTCTGCTAACCAAAGACTATTCTGTTAATACAACTCTTGAAAATAAGCATCACTGTCCAAATCCTGAGGATATGTTCCATGCACATAAAGGAGGACATGCAGTGTCCGTCCCCTCCCGCAGCTACCCCTTCCGCCATCATGCATATGATTGTGAGACCACTTGTACACCCAGCTTCAAATCCAGGCTCACAAAGGAGAATCTGGAGGGGAGGGGATGCTTGTGTGATTGGGCTTGTACAATCAAGGCAGGATTCTGATCCAAGAAATACATGATCTGTCAGATTTTTGCCACTTCCCCCCTGGTTTTCTAAATCTGTTAGTCTAAATAACTACAGCTATCACCTGTCTTTCTATCCCTCCCTCTCCCCACCCATCTTTCTCTTTCTCTCTTTCTCTCTCGTCCCACTATGTTCATTGGGATTTACTCCCATGAGTACATAGGCCCTCAATCTTAGGCTTGAATCCTAAGCAGAGAGAAACAGTGTTCTGGCAGAATGCTGTTGCCTTTCTCTGTTGTCTAACTTGTCTGTGGCTGCATGTACCTAGCAACTACTAGTTGCTCAACCAAAATTGTCTCGCTTTCCATCCTTGTACAAAGTCCAAAACGAGAAGTCCACATGTGCATCATTACTGGTGCTAGCAGATAGAGAGGCTAACTTCAGTTAAATGTGCTCCAAAAATGCATATTTTCAGCCAGAAGCAAGCAGGACTACTGTTGCCATTGTTAAGAGAGAAACTTCACTACATACTGTATATTTGCAGCTGTCCTCGGAAGACATTCCTTCCCCGGGAGTTTTCAGCCTTGCATTCATACGTCCCCGCATCTTCTAGCTGCACGTTTGGGATCTCAAGCACGGCTTGGGACTTCCGCAGGCGGGCTTTGCTCGGATTGGGGCCATTAACTTTCCTCCACGAGATGGTTGGAACAGGGCTGAAATATTTAGTGAAGCCATGATTAGCACTTTCCTGCCATTAAGAATAGATCCCGTTACCTGCTAATTTAAGAACTTAATCATCTAGGCAGCAATAAAATGTTATCACAATTAAGGCTCATGAATGGCTTGACAGATTTCACTCGCAGTTGAAATTACTGTATGTAATAAGTGCCACTGCTATCATGGACAGTTCCTGTTTATCGGAAAGGGTGTTCAATCTTTACTCGGGACTAAGCCATGGAATTTAAGTGGAACATGCCATCTTTCAGGGACACAGAGGAAGAGTGTTGCAGAACTGTAGAGAAAATGTCATACAAGCAATTCCTTCTGTAATGCTATTGTGTTCTCAGCAGGAGTGGCTTGATCTCTAAGCTGAGCCACTATGCAAGAGTAAGGAGTGGTCATTCAGTTTAGATGCTGGTGCCATGGTGCCATCAAAGTTGCAATAGGTTTGAAAAATTTTAAATAAGAGAATAAGTTCAATAAAAACAAGGGTAGAGGTAACTGTATATTCCCGACTATGACATATAGATGTGGAAGTTGGATAGTGGAGAAAGTTGCCAGGAAGAAACAGGCTGAGATTCATTTGAAATATGGTGTTGCATGAGAGCTTTATGGATACCATGAACTACTAGAAAAAAAAAACAAATACAAAGATCAAAACAAGCCTGAACTATCCCTGGAAGTTAAAATGATAAGGACTAAGGGTGTTGTAATTTGAGCACATCATGGGAATACAAGGATGCCTGGAAAAGACAATAATGTTGAGAAAAGTTGAAGGTAGGAGGCAAAGAGGAAGACCAAATATGAGATGGGTTGAACCCATGGCCTTGAGTTTGGGAGAGCTGAGCCCTGTCAATGACAGGACCTTTTGGAGGTCATGCATTCAGAGGGTTGTAAGAAGCCGGAAGCAAGTTGGCACATAACAACAACAGGAGCAATCCTCCCTACAATTGGAAGACCCTTCTCCCCCAAACCATCTGTTTGCCCTCCAACACTTTTGTCTGTCTCAACCCTCTCTTTCATTTCAGAATTTAGGCTAAAATGTCTTGCTCCTCAAAACTGGGAGAACATATTGAGTAGAGATCCTTTGATAAGAGAGGAACTTCTTAGTCACAGTTAACTTCAACCTCACTGAGTTCGATGGATCTACTCTACCTGGCCTGAAATTGGATTTAGCTTTTTAATTACTCTAGAATGTCTTACTTGCAAAATTAGTATTCCCAATATGCAATGATGTACTGTAAAGGTATAAATATACAATGATCAATGCATGCCACTAAGATCCTTGAAACACCATTACTCAAGAGCTTTGGACCTTGAAAGGTAATTTCCAAGAATATTTTCATTCTTCAGTTACGACACACTGTTAATTGACTTATTTATTCATAAATTTTGCAAAGCTTCATACTGTTGCTGATAACCTTGCACTTTTCTCATGAACTGCCAGATAGCTCAGCGGCTTAAGCATCTGGCTGCAGAGCCAGAAATTGGGAGGACTTTTCTTCTCCAGAACTGCCAGATAGCTCAGTGGCTTAAGCATTTGGCTGCAGAGCCAGAAATTGGGAGGTCACTTCTCCACTGTGCCTCCTCGACAGGGATCGGACCTGGTGATCCACAGGGTCCCTTCCAGCTCTGACAGGGATTGGACCCGGTGATCCACAGGGTCCCTTCCAGCTCTGCAGCCCCACAATTATTATTTTGTAGGCATCCATCAGTCTCAAGAGACTATGGTAAATGATTATTATTATTATTACTACACAAAATTTGTAATATTTTGTGCAATAATATTATTATTAATAATACAATGGCTTTCATGTTCCCATTACAGCATCCATCCACAATGAACAGACAGGCACGGGGAAATATACTATAACATCTGGATTGCTGCATATAGGGAAAGAACCATAGCTTTGTAGTAGATGACCTCCTTTGCATGGTAAATGACCACAGTTGAGTTCCTAGCATCCTTGTGGTCAAGCTGTGTCAAGATATCCTTCTTTATGAGCTTGTTTAGGCTTTGGAGTTCCTTTTCTCATTCCTCCTACCATCAGAGGTACATATGATGAGAATGAGAAAAAAGGCTTTCCCAGCTAAAAAAGATGATAGTGCATCATTACAAAAGAGCCTAAGCATAATGGCTGAAATTCTGGTGCTTAGTGTAGTAAGTTACACTAGAGTAGGCCCACTAAATTAGAATTGGTGAATCAATTTCTCCATAATTTCCATTAATTCAAATGAGCCTACTCTAGTTGAAACTTACTACAGTGGACCCTCGACTTACAGACGGCTTGACTTACAGACTTTTCGAGTTACAGACTTCTCTGGCATCAGAGGTACATACAATGAAAATGAGAAAAATGGCTTTCCCAGTGAAAAAAAGATGATATTATTAGTGCATCATTAGAAAAGAGCCTGATAATAATGGCTGAAATTCTGGAGCTTAGTGTAGTAAGTTACACTAGAGTAGGCCCACTAAATTAGAATTGGTGAATCAATTTCTCCATAATTTCCATTAATTCAAAGGAGCCTACTCTAGTTGAAATTTACTATGTTAAGGCAAATCGCAGCTAGAGTAGGCCCATTTGAATTAATGGAAATTATGGAGCTGACTCACTAAATCCCTATTGATTCAATGGGCCTACTCTATTGCAAGTCACTATTCTATGCAACACATTTCAGGCAACATCTTCAAATAAACGTGGTAATGTTACATATATTGTTTTTCCTAGGAAAAGGGGAATAAAGGATTGCTTCATCTAACACTTTAAAAATAACACATTTAAAAGAAAATAATAACTCTGTTTCATGCATTGAATTTTAACCTATTATATGTCTGTCTGTCCGCATTCATTCTCTAAAAAATATATCATTTTTGGCCTGTACATCTGTTGCAGATTGAGAAATTGCCCATTGCTGTGGTATCAATCGACAATATAGAGACAGGCATAGGGAAAAATATTTCAATTTAATTGAAGTGATTCATCACATCAGGAATGATCTAGCAGCAGAAGAAAAAATAATTTCACTTCCCCTGACCCTCTGCAGCCAATCAAAAGAAGTGTTCAATCGTAATCCACTTCAGGATACCAGAAATTGACACTGGAGGGAGCCGCAAGGCAACAGTTTAGTCCATTCCCATTGCTGGAATACAAAAACCTGGAGCCCTCGAACCCACATCAAAATAATAGAACTCCCAGACAGGGGTTCAAAAAGGTGTGGGTTGGGGCAAATTGGTCTGCTCCAGCAATGTGGATGGCAGAAAAAAACAGCGGACTCCTCAGTGCACCACAAACACCTGCATGGACAGGTTTTTAGTCTAAAACAACAACAACAACAACAATGATTCCATGTTCCAGTTTCAAACAATTTTGTTTAATGATTATTAATTCACTGAGGATTTTTTTTAAAAAAATATTTCTTTCATTGCTATGATTGTTAGCCATCTTGGTTCTACTACTTGGGGAGCACAGTGGAGTAGAACATGGAAATAAACAAACAAAGCATCTCTCAGTTATAAAAAAAATCAAGTACTAAGTGGTGAGAAAGACCTTTGTTTGAATATGCTGGCGAGTTACTGGTGATCAGAGAAGGCACTACTGGATTAGATAGGGAAAATCACGTCATATATAGGAGGAAGCTTCCTATATTTCAAAGAGCTCAGAAAAATTGTTGGACTACAGTTCCGGCTGCAGGAAGGACGTTGCGAAGTCCTTGAACTGCAGAGCCGGCTTTGCCCTTCCTGGTTCTGGAGAATGCAAGCCAGCTCTGCCCACGTGACCAAAAGGGAGGGGGCTAGTGTTTACTTAAGGTTGACCTCTATCCTGATTGGCTATTGGATGGAAGGATTTTTCGCCTATCCCACACTGGAGAAGGGTTGTTGGCATTTGATTGGTGGTTATTCTCGGTCACACTGGCGGATAGTGCGGGAAAAAACTGGTTGTCTCGGTGTGTCCCTTTGATAATTATGGTAAGCCAACAGCGCATCCAACCTCATGGCTCTGCGGATCATGTGATTACAGGGCGGGCGGTGGGCAGATGCACTGAGCCACTTTTGGACCAACAGTCATCAAATAAAGATGGCTCGAGGTCTGGGGTGTTTAATAGAGGCCGGCCTGGTTCCTCTTGTTGTCAAGACAGCTGGAACCTGGGGCCTGGGACTCGCCCATTGACTGATAAGGGTATCGTGGATGCCCTGCATTTCTTTCTCCGCACTACCGCAGGCCCCCTCATTTTATGATGACAATGATATCTATAATCAGAATTGATTTAATAAAGTGTGGACCGTATTTAATCCATATCACTGTCTTGCGTCTTCATTTCGGGACCTAGAAGGGCAAAAATCCCATTGCTGTCTGGGAGATTTTTGGAGTTGTAGTCCAACCCCCTCCCCCATGTTTTCAACATCTGATATTTCAAGAAAAAGGGAAGACTCTTCTCCCATAAATTTCAGGAGCTCCAAAAGTTTCTAAGCAATTTGGTATAAGCAAACTTCGAATGGATTTAACCAGACTTCTATCTTGCTTTAATTGTATGCGGCATCAACTTTACTGCTATCAATTATAGCTGGAGAGATGCTGAAGGATTTTTTTAAAATGTCATTGCCTAGGCCATTAACAAGTCTCTTTCAAAATTTTGCTTTCCCCCTCCTAATGATGAGGAGGTAATAAGCCAATTTTTCAAGGAGAGTGAAACACTTTGGCTGTAAAGTTTTAATGATTTCAAAGGAAATTGCTCCCAAATTGCAAATCGCTATTCAAAGACAAGTTGTAGCTTCCCTTAATGAATCTTTTTTTCTCTTGCTGAAGTCACCAATCACATGGATTTTATAGCTGAGATGAAAATATATGTAGGTGTGTAGATGCAGAGATTTCTCCTTGGTGGCTTTAAGAAAATTAAAAGACTTCCGATTTTTAAAAAAATGATTTAGTATGACCTGTAAATCAAGAAAGATTTTACAAAAAGAGTCTAAATTGTGATTTCAAGATATGTTGGA